CAGCACCCCCATCACCCATCACCCAGCACCCAGCACCCAACACCCCCACCATGGACATCAAGAGTTTCGGCCCAAATGGCTCTCAGAAACCCCAACAGCACGAGCCATTAGTGGCTGTGAAATCAGATCAAGACATTGACTCCCAGCCTGGCCTGGGAGTCACTCTGAGACACAGCTGGATCCCCCTCCTCTCCCTTGAGACCGGGGGCCCTCACTGCCACCCCACAGGGGAACTCCACAGAGCTGGGCACGGTGGGCATTTCTGCTCCTGTTGGGGGTCCTGGTAGCATCACGGGTGGCTGTGCACGGGTCTTTCTGCCTGTGGCCAAGGGCATATTAGGGCCTGGCCTTGGTGTTTGTGGAGGGGAAACTGTGGCAGGAGAAGCCAGGGCACGGTGCCTCAGAACCCAGGAGGTGAAGCCCTGCCGCGGTGCCCCTCCTCGTGCCACTCTGTGCTCCCCCGCTTTGGAGCCCAAAGACTCTCCCCTGGGCCTGGTCTGCCGCCTGGCCCCGCCAGCTGCCTGGCCCCGCCCACTCGCGCTCCCATTGGCTCCGCCCCAGCACAATCTGGGAGCCCCCAAGGGGGGTGGGGCACCAGGGAGAGGGAAGGAAGAGGGGGTGTTGGGCAGAGGGAGGGGGGCCGGTCAGTTGGAGGCCCAATGAGCAGACGTCTGTCCTGGTGGGCTTCGTGGTGGCCGGGCAGCCCCAAGAGGATGGGTCTGTCTGGTCGCCCAGACCCCCAGCCCAGCCAGGCGCCCTAACATGTCAGCAGAACGACCAGCGCATCAGCAGCCCTCTCTCCCGAAAGGGCACTGGGGGATGGGCCGGGAGCCACTGGTCTCCCGAGAACCAGGACCTGGGGCCCGATGGGCCTGTCAGGTCATTAGCCCCCCAGGCTTCCCTGGGGCAGATGATGAGGGTGGTCCCCACGTGAGCCCAGGTGGACAGCACTGTCCCTCGGGCCAATAAGGGCACAGGGCTGGGAGTGGCAGAGTCTCCTTTGAGGTTCTGGGGGACTGTACCCTCAGGGGTGCTGGGCAGGGGGCAGCTCATCCCCTGTGACCCAAAGATGGCCCACAGCCTGAGGTCTCCCCACTGCCCAGCGTCTACCCTCTCCCCACCCTTCCCCGCTCAGACTGAAACCCAATCAGGCGTCGGCTGCAGCCTGTCCTGTCTGGGGAACATCTGTTCGGTCACCAGCTGCGGGCTGCCTGCAGCCCACACTACTCCCCTGGCCACTGCAGCCCGGCTCCCCACAGCCAGCGAGGCCCTAGGTCTCCCGCGGTGTCCACTATAGGTGGTCTCCATCACCAGGCCAGAGCTTGGTCACTGCCCACGGCGTCAGGACCACCCCAGCGGGGCTCACCTCAGAGCTAGCCCCTGCCTCCTAAGAGACAGGAGTGGGGCCCACCCCGGGAGGCCAAAAGATGGGGGGAGATTGAGAAGGACAGGGGATCCCAACCTGCACTGCATGGGGGGTCCCAGTGGGGGAAGGGCAAGGGGACTGGGGACTGAGCCCTGGGAGACGAGATAAGAGGGAAGTGACCCAGCCCGGAGCTGGGGGGAGGTGGGGGTGGACAGCAGCTCACTGCCAAGGCACGGAGGAGGGGAGACTCGGCCCCAGCCGTGTGCCCAGCACTGCCTGGGCAGGATGGTGGGCACCCCGACCGGCAGGTCAGGCAGAGCCTGGGCTTGTCTCCTGAAGCACTGAGAACCAGCGGCTCGGCCTCGCCTCTCCTGCCGACCTTCGGACATACTGCGCCGGGGGCTTTGCTAAAATCACACCGGCTCTTAGTGCTTTTCTTAGGATGCTCCAGAACCTCTGGGCCAGGGGCGACCCAACCCCTGCCTGCTGGTTGGGTGAGGAGAGCGAGGCCACGGTTGCACACCCAGGGTGGACGGTGTCCTGCAGGCAACTGGCCCTAGCCCACCTCCCCACCAAGGCCACGCAGGGAACCCCAGAATGTGGGACGGGAGAAGCACGGGCCCTGCACTGAGGGCTGGGCGCCCCCCCCCGGGCCAGATGTGCAGGACTCTGGCTGGCCAAGGAGGCACATGCAGGTGAGCAGGGAAGAGTCCTCCGGCTCAGAGCGCTGATGGCGGGCTCTGGGGACCCTCAGGCCCCGGCCCCGAGCCTAAGGCCTGGTGATCGGGTTCCTGAGAGCTCCCCCACCCGTCCTATAAACAGGCACACGCGCACGCACAGATGCAGACACAGGAAGAAACACCAGCTTAGAGGAAACGATGCACGTTTTCTTGTTTAACAAAATAAATTAAATATACGAAGCTTCAGCTCAAACTCTATAAAATGACAGAGGCCTGGGGCCGCCACGGGGAGCGGGGTGACGGATGCCCGGTCCCGAGGTGGACATCCGGTGTGGCCGAAAGGCCAGGTGGGTCCTGGGCCTCAGGAGAGGCCAAGGCTCTGTGGCCCAGCCCTCCTTTCATCATTATTAATATTATTATCTTAATTTCTTAAATATAAATATCAAGGGCCCCTTCTCTCTGGCAGTGGGACGGGAGGCACCCCCAGCCAGCTCCGGCCTCTCAGGACGGGGCCTAGGGCTGCTCCGCCCGACCCCCCTGCCCAGGGCACTGGTGGACTCCTGGACACCCAGGACAGGTGGTGGCAAAAATAGCCTGGGCAGGGACACAGGCGGGCAGGCGTAGGGAAGGGGTCGGAGTTTTTGGTTTGCAAAGCCAGGGTGCCTCTCAGATCTCCTGCCAGGCCGGGGTGGGGGGGTGACCATGGCCCCCATGAAATCCTTATCACGGGGCCAAGGGATTCCTTCATGAGCTAGACCGTCGCTACATGCGCACTGCAGAGTTACAATACAGACCTTCCCAAAGGCTTCTTAGTCTGAGTGTGTGTGTGTATGTGTGTAATTGTGTGTGTGTGTGTGTGTGTCCAGAGGTATGTCATGCATGTGTGTGCGTCCAGGTGTGTGTGTGTCTCACGTGGGGCGCCTCGCACCCGCAGTCCATCTTCCTCTGTGGCCCTCCCCCCAAGCCCGCGCGGCTGGCCGGGCCTCCGCAAGCCCACCCCGAGGCACCCTAGCACTGGTAGTGGATGTGCTGATGCTGGTGGACCTTGCCCTCCACGTGCGAATGCGTGTGTGAGTGCGTGTGCGTGTGCGTGTCTGTGTAGAGTTTGGGGTACAGCTTGGGGCCGGCGGCTGAGCCCGGGCCCAGCAGGTGCTGGGGGGGCGCCGGGGGCCCGAGTTCCTCACACAGCCCCACACCGGGGCCGGCACCGAGGGTGGGGGGTGCCGGCAGGTCCTTGTCCCCGCCGCGGTCGCGGGCCGTCGCGGGCGGGCGATGTGCAGGCACCGGAGGGGCGGGCGCGGGGGCGCACGGCTTCTTCTTGGCCTGGCAGAGCCACAGGAGCACGGTGCCCAGGATGAACACGGCGCCGGCTGGGATGCCGATGACCACTGGCCACGGCAGGCTGGTGGCAGAGGACGAGGGGGCCACCGGCGGCCCTGGCGGCTTGGGGTCTGCGGGAGAAACCGAGGAGGGGGCGGGGAGGGGAGCGTCACGTGTGGGCGTGGCCCGGG